CCTCCCCTTTGTCCCCTCCTCTGGGCTCTGACTCTCTCTGCAGCCTTTCTACTACTACTCCTTAGTTCCTTCTTACTGTCTTTCAGTCACACCCCTGATCTTACTGTAGATAAGATCTAACACTGACACCAATTTAAGCCTTCTCGGATTAGGGCGAAAAATTGCGGAGGTCCCGTGTGCAAGTTGCGCACGTTAAAGATCCATTGGTAGTCGTAAAATCGATGAGAGTAGGCTTCGGCCGTCACCAGGGCAAAATTCAAAATTAATTCTTACCAAACTAAAAATGTTCCATGTGCCCGGCGCGCTCATGTGGCCTTATGTAGTTGCGAGCGCCGTATTCCCCACTTAAAATTCTCGGTAGTGATTTGGGGGCAAGACACGTATCTCGATATTTCATCTTTCTACTCGCTTGGAACGAGCTTGGAAGGATGACCCAGGACAGGGATAAAATATGGAAGGAGCTTGTATGTGGCCCACAGAATTCTACACATAGTGTAGAATTCTGTGATGAGGCCTATACCCTGCCAGGGATGAAAGGCGTTGATGATGATGATGATGTCAAATCCGGTTTCTGTACCAATCTGCCGGATCGGCAGAAGTGCACTGTAACCGTCTTCAAAGGAGAAAACTTGAAACTGTTTTCATTTGCCCACTTTTCATGTTTGAACGGTTGAGTCTGCAGCTGTCGTCTTTCCGTAGATCTTATGTGAGGATTTCTGGCTCGACAGATTATATCAGGAAGTCATCAACAATTAACGAGCTGTTTTTTTTTTTTTTTTTTTTTTTTGTTTTGGAGGGCGTGAATTTAAAAGGAAGGGAGAAAGGATACCTCCTTATATGGGGTGCCCATTACGGCTGGATCGGCTGATCGCCCGACTCAGTCGCCTGAAACTGAAAACAAACACGTTTTCCACCAATCCCTTCCGTAATGGGCACCCCATATTAGGGCCTAGGAAACAACTTCACTCCGCTAGGGAGGATCGGAAAGGGAATATCTGACACGAACCTCGAAGGAACGGTTCTGCAAAAGAATTCCCTAAAACTTCTTTTTTCTGGGGATTTTGGAGATTGGACGGCAGCTTGCTCGGGGTGGGGGGGGGGGGGGCATTGGGAAGGGAATAACAGACCCCGTCCTTTCGAGAAGAGGCACTGGAGGTGTGATCTTCCATGGGGAGGGAGGGGGTATCTGCAGGGAGCGGGGCAGGAGGAGTATGGGGTGGTGGAGCAAATGGGGGGAGGGGGGGGGCAGGGGAGCCAAAATTTAATCCCGCTCGGTGGCAGATTTCAAGGGAATTACGTCCGCCAGTCCACCTCTCCCAAATCTGAACTAGAGGGCACGAAGGCGCCCCTAATTTCTTATTTGGGTCTCCAATCCATATCGTCCAATCGTCCAATTTTCCAACAATTTTGCGATTACTCGTAACAATTTGCCGTATGAACGATGGATCGTCCCATTTTTGTACAATGCATGTACCTTTAAGGAACAACAAACAGAATTGTTGGGTTTAGTTTGTTGGGTTTTTTTAAGTCGCCGTACTAAATTCCCTTTCTAACCGCAGCCAGCTTCCATGCATCAAGGCGACTTATGTCGACTTGGTGAAGCACTTAATTTTTGGAGCAAGAAGGGTCATACTATAATTGCTATTGCTTGTGGTTGGTGGGTGATTTAGTGTGGTTTGCTCGCTCTACATACTATAATATAAACTCGTCCAGATTCCTCCTCTTTTTTTTTTCTTTTTCTTTTTTTTGGTGTTTATTACTCTCTTGTAACACTTCAGCAATAATATGACTTTGTCACTTTATTGATTTATAAGTGCCGTAAAACTTTTACTTAAACTTAAAAAATAATAATAATTGCTATTACTGGTTCTGTCCTCTTGAATCAAAAATCAAGTGTGTGTGTTGGGGGGGGGGGGGGGGGGCACTTCATAGACGACGGCTTCTACAAACGAGAGTATCTCATTTTCTTTCTTTTTATCCGATAGGTAGAGGCGAAAAGTCAGTTTTGACATTCAACATTTTGGATTTCATAAATAATTGTTATTTTCTTTGTAAGGTGTTCTAAAATCGTAGTTTAATTTATGATATTACCTCCGAAAAAACAAACAGGAAACACGTACGAAGAAGAGTGCAAATTTTAATGTGAATTGAAAATAAGAAACAGACACCAGCAAGAAGAAGGGAGATGCAACGTAAAAAGGAAAGAAGATCTAGAATGCATGAAGGCAGCTTTCCCGTAAGAATAATGAAGTACATTATCGTCATTGAAAATATAAAGGGGTTTGAGATTCAAAACTACTAGAAAAAAGTATAGCTAAGTACTAAAAATCAAACCACGGATAAATTATTAATGGATTACTTTTAAACATTGTAACCGTAAACGCGCAGGCGCAATCGTTAATGTATTATTAACGCGCGCATTAGAAAGGCCAAACAGGCCAGAAGTGAACTGTTGTTCTACAGTCTAGGCCTAGAATCTACAACAGGTGACCCCACAAATTTCCCCGATTTTGCATAGCATCAGCCTGGCTGTTGTCAAGTCAACATCAACAAGTTGAGGGAGGGAGGCCCAGCAGAAAAGTGGACCTAACACCAAGTTTACTTAATAAGGATAGCTGAGCTGCCACATAGATCTCGTAAGTCGACTTCAGGAGTCATACAAAAATTTTAAAAGAACAGTCGTTTGGTCTGGTCATCACGACTGACTTGAGCTGTTCTGTTTTTCGTGATGAGCACTCACAGCACTTCCACTTTGACTCGCCGGTCATTTTTTTATATTTTGATAATGACATCTGAATACACAGTGGTTTCTGCTTAACACTTTCTGGTCACTCTGCGCTAGAATATAGCCTAAGTGCCCTAACGCGATGGTGAAAATTTTGAAAAGTTATAGATCTAGAATCTAAACGAGGCCTTCTAGAAATTCTAGATTCTATTCTAAATCCATTCTGGTCACCTGTGGTGCTGCGGCCAGGCCCGAGAAGTCAATTGCAGTCAGTCACTCTCCTGGCTGGATGACCAAATAGGCTAGGGTGTTTTTGCTGGCTGTGTGACTGCAAGGTGTTAAGATTGCACCGCTATATATAATCGCGGTTCGCTACTTAAAACTCTAATCCCTGAGTTTTTCTAGAACAGTACGGTCTCATAGAACTACACTTACCCCACTTGCGACTAAACGTAGAACCAAAGACCGTGTATACCAAAAGATGTTTCAATTGCCCTATCTCGCGTTCGTGCGAGACTTTGGCGCTTCCTTGTGCTGGCCCGTGATACGAGCGTAAACAAATGTTTCAACCGCTCTTGAACTTTAACTTTAGTTGAAAGCGTTCGCGTGCAATTTTGTCGGCGCTTTTTCGGTAGATCTAGATCTAGATTTAGATATCTAGATCTAGTTCCCACCCCGCAATTATAGGTTAATTACGCGTGCAATTTTGTCGGCGCTTTTTCGGTAGTTCCCACCCCGCAATTATAATTATTGTTATTCGCCGGTTTGGGCCCCAAGAGTAGGGGGGATGCAAGGCCTCCCTGACCTAAGTACGGCAAGACTGGTTGGCTAGCCGTACTATCTTAGCTCGCCGCGCATCAAACATATATATACGGTATACAGTCCATGCCGGCTTTAAGCACGGTCATCGGGAGAAAGCGTAAGCGTGCTTGAGTGCCAAGTAGACAAAATCCAGAGATTTTCATGTAGAAAATTTCCCGTGCTATAGTAGGACTATAATTAGCGGTCCCGCAAAAGTGTGCACTGATATTTTTACCCACCATGGTAGTTTTTGTTTGCTTGTTTTGTTTCTGTTTGGCCACCTCTATTCTCACCCGGGATGAGAATAGTGCAGGCGAGTCTTTTGGCTATTCTCACCCGGTGCGCGTTCACCGTTATAGTCTAGATCTAGGCCAACAAATTTTGCGTTCACCCTAAACCACAGAATTCTACACTGTGATAACAGAAAAATTGTAGAATTCTGTGCCGTGAACCAACGTTCCATTACAACTGTAGTCTACTTAAAGCGTACAATTTTGTCTGTGGGCAGTGGAGAGAGAGAGAAAGAGAAGAGGAGTAGTGCGAGAACTTCCGGTCAAAACAAAATGGCGACCCGCGTAGTTCGGCTCGATTCGAAAAGTTAAATAGCCGTAGCATCTTTGTAGACAACCAAATTAATTTACTTTTGTGTTTTAACATCATTTTTTAACTTTGTTTTGATGGTCAATTTGATCGTCCACACCGATAGACAGTATTCAGAAAGAGACAGAGAGAGGGGGGAGGAGTAGATCTTGCGAGAACTTCCGGGCAAAACAAAATGGCGACCCGTGTAGTTCGGCTCGATTCGAACAGTGAAATAGCCATAGCATCTTTGAAGACGATCAAATTAGCTTACTTTTGTGCTATAACGTAATTTGTTCTTGGCTTTTATCAATTTGATCATCCACACCGATAGACAGTATTCCAAAATGAGGAAAAGCAGGTCTTGTTTCGCACCGGGTGAGAATAGCCTACGCTGGCAAGTCTCACCCGGGGTGAGAGGTAGATCGTTTTTCTATTCTCACCCCGGATGAGAATAGCCACTTCCTTTCTGTTTTGTGGTCGAATGGGAAATGAAAACTCAATTTAGACGGCCTGTCACGATACAGCACACTATGCCTACACACTGCCTGTATGTACCACTGCCCGCTGTGCCACATTCATATCACCGCCTTCATCCCACCTCGCGCGTGATACACAATCAAATGGATAGCGAGGGTCAAAGGTGAAATCGCAGCCAGCCTCTCTTTCTCGTCTCCCTGACTCTCTTTGTATTTTTTTAGTCTGTGTGTAAATTTGCGGTAGGTTAGATCCTATGTCCACGCGCGCGGCTGCATGCATCAGATCTCTCTGCCTTCCTCTCCGCGCGTGTGAGTGTGTCTCCATCACTTGCGTTCTCTGTGTTTCTTTTAACACACTCCACTGCTGCAGTGTAGACTGTGTTCGAACTTCGATGGGTCATCATAAAGGTATTGGCTGTCCTGTAATGAAGCGTGCCTGAAGCCGAAGTTACCGTGCTTAAAGACGTGCTTAAATTTATAGGGCAAAAATTCGGTAAGAGCCGTCCAGCGTGCGTGAGTCCGAAACGTGCTTAAAGCCGGCACGGACTGTATAGATCTATCTAGATGTAGATCTAGGCTCAAATAAGTGGGGTGGGAACTACCGAAAAAGCACCATTTTGTCTGCGGGCAGAGAAAGAGAGAGAATGGGGAGGGGGAAAAAGGAGAGCAAGAGAGAGGGGAGTGGAGAAAGAGGGAGAACGACAGACAAGAGAGAGGGGGGTATTTGTATAATTTAAGAATTATTGTTGCCTGTCATTTTCTATCTGCGTCGGTGCTATACAGTCATTATTAGGCCAGGGCAAGATCAACGGCAAAAAGACTCGAGGCCTCGATTCCAAAACTGAAAAAGAATCGAGGAATCGAGTCCGATTTTCGAGTTTGGAAGCTGCTTCAAGTGGGCTGTTTAGAGAGGCCATGACTTGAACACTGCTAAAAATAGCTCTTAAGATCGAGACCTCGACTCTTGAACACTGCTAAAAATAGCTCTTAAGATCGAGACCTCGAGTCTTGAACACTGCTAAAAATAGCTCTTAAAAGATCGAGACCTCGAGTCTCGAGTTTGACAGACGTGGCTGGTTCAGCCTGTGCGCGTGCCAAGGCAGGTTGGCTTTCACGCATTTGTATGTGTGTGTATTGGGTGTGGGTGGGTGTGTGTGTGCGCGCGTGTGTATGTGTGTGTGTGTGAGAGAGAGATGGAGGGAGAGAAAGAGAGCGAGGAGGGAGAGACAGAGAGAGAGCGGGAGGGAGGGAGCGAGAGAGTGAGATAGGGAGGGAGGGAGGGAGAAAGGGCGAGCGAGAGAGATGGGGAGAGAGAAAGAGAGAGAGCGATGGAGGAGGGAGGGAGAGAGAAAGAGAGAGAGAAGGATACAACCCATGGCCAGACTCTGACAGTTCATGATTAGTTCACTCTTGTACATTGTCGCCCTATTCGGGGGTGGGGGGGGGGCTGCTACAACGTGGGCCAGTGCGTGTGTGTGTGTTGCCTCCCTTCTATCACTCTTGCCAATGCGTGGGGCACAGGCTCCTTCTCTCTTGCACTAGGCCTATCAAGGCCTAGTGCACGCCGAATTCAAATAGTGAAAAAAACATAAGTAAACAAAACTCAAAAAAATTAATTTAACTTGGTAATCGGGCCTTAAAATGGGTTCCCCGCGTAACTTTTGCAAATTTTGGGTCGCTGATCACGAAAATCTTATTATTTCTTAAATTTGGCCAATATTTAAGAAATTTTTGGAATGCATTTTTAACTCCGCCTAGGCCAACATCAAAGAAGCCGCCTTATGCGCCGGATGAGTCCCGTCCTGGTGCGGTGTCTGTTTTGAAGCAAAAAACTCGACTGTGGGGTGGGACAGCCCTAGGCCTATCCCACGACAGGACTGTAATAGTGCGGTAGAGATTTAGATTCTTGCCTCGATTCTCGGAGTCTAGGCTAGGAACCAGGCTAAAAAAGGGAGACGGAAGGCGTCGACCCTGGGCGGACTCGAAGCTTAAAGTCTGGGAACAAGATCGATTCTTTGAGTCCTCATTTGGACTCGAAAGAATCGATCCCAGAGTCGATCTTGCCCTGGCCTAGTCATTATATTGTACACATGACTATAGTCCCATCTTCCAAATCCCACCTTCTGTTTCCCATCTCTCACCTACTTCCCATGTAGGCCTACTGCATCCAATATTCCATATATCCCAACTTTAATTCTGTAAGCGGGCTTCGTTTTCTTTCATCTCATGGGGTGGAACGCCTGAAGCAGGCCAAAATATTAAATAATTTTTATACATCACTGGCGCCAATGTCCAAATCAGATTGTATGTGCTGTTCAAGCACAAGTTTTCAACAGCTTGATTTAATACCTGTTTTATTCGGAATCAAGATTTGATCTCCTTGAGATTTCTTTGATGTATCCTCTTCGGAAACGAGTTTATTTTTTACTTTCCCTAACTTACAATTCACCCAGCACGACTACTGGGATCTATAATATTATTATGATGTCAATTTGGTCAGAGAATTGCAGTGAGAATTAAACTTTCATTAAGAAATGTAACAGTCTGACAAGACTAGAAAATGCTCCCTCTCAAGAGAGGTGTAATGTGACTCTCTTTGCACAGTGTCGTATTTCAAGGACTCAGATGATGTGGAAAAAACTAGTTGTTGTTTGATATCATTAAAAAGAGACAAGGACAGTTTGAATCTGCAAGACATTGTATAAATAATAAAAGGTCGCAACATCAAGTCGAAAAGAAATTGTAAAGCAAGACTGCATTGTGTCACCACAATACATTCACTTCTTGAGTTGGTCTCATAGCACGCAATGTCATTATTTGTCTGGTAATTCTGTAATTAATATGATGTCGACCAGGGACCACGGGCTAGACTAACTACGACTCTATAACCATCGTGCGAATATGACTGGACAGCAAACTACATGAGTTGGATCGGTGAACATCTTGCTGCTTAAAATCATTAAATAGTTTTCCTAGTTTTTGTTAGTTGATTTTCAATTTTCTTTTCTTCCTTTTCATCCACATACTCAACCCCAACCCTTTTTCCTTTTTTTTTTTCTTTTCTTCCTTTTGTTTTTATTTGTGTGTTAATTTTTATCTTTAATTACACAATCTTAGCAATTCTCGTTCCATAGATTGAGTCTCTACCATTCTGTACCTCCTCTTCTCCTCCCTAAAGTTGTACACACGCATGATACTCACACACCCCAAGTTGTCGGCGATGAAACCAACCTCGCGGAGTCGTGCCGCCTAGTGACGCAGCCCATCATGCGCTACGTGGCAAAGCGAGCCCGCCACAGCCGCGGACAAAAACCCAAAGAGGAAGTGCAATACACGTCTTTGGCAGAATGAGGCAAACTATTTTTAGATAGGGCAGCCGTCTTGTGTGAAGTCAGACCGGGATACCCTTCCGATCACATGACTACATCTAAAACATGGGTAAACGCATGGCACCAAAAATCGTGTAGAGTATCTTTGATCGCACGACGCTTTGGTGCGATGTTTTTCCAGGAATACCGGCAATGTGATATGATGATGCATCTGCTCTGATGATGATGCTGCTAATCTCTTCTGCGCAATGTTTATCGCGCCCGGGGGAGGTGGGTAGGGCCTACACGTTTGCTCTAGGCGGGATCATATCGAACTGTGAACTCTTCCCTGACCACTGCAGCAGTTATCTCACTCTTGAATTTGGAAGACAGATTGAATTTTAATTGGTGTGGTCACAACATAATGGCGTGTAATGACAAAGGCAGGGAAACTTGGTGAAAGATCAAAAGCTATAAATTTTGGGCGGATAAAGGGGAGGGGCAACTGGATAAGATAGATCTTGAAACTCATGATAGGATAAGTGAAAATGGCATGCCTCTTGCCACACTGAGTGGTCTTCAGGGTTGACCACTCTTTGCTTGCCATGTCATAAACCCACCCAGGGATCACATCAGTTCAATTTTAAGATTGAAGGGAGACCATTTTACTGTTTGTGAGCCTTAACATGGGTCACTCTTGGTGTGTCGGATGAGATCCTGCATTTTCCTTGCTCCGGGAAACCGGGATCTTAGGCAGAGACTACTGTATTTGGGTTAATGTTAATTTGCCGCCCCTCCTTTCCAGGAAAAGGAAATAAAAAATCGGGACTCGTAGTCCCTATACACATAATAGCGGCAATGGGGCAAATGAAGAAAGTTAAAGAGTTAGAAGGGCCTCTGAAACCGATACTAGTTAGTAGCTCTATAATAGTCTGTCGGTAGGAAAAGCTGATTATTGCTCGTTTTCAAAACTTCAGAAGGAAACAACAGATGGACATGGACCCATTCATCACGCTACAAAGAACGGAGACAGAGGGGTTGTTACAGACACAAGCTTCAACAACAATAGAGCCATCTTCAACTCTGAAAACACTCACCTTAGCTCAGCGCCTTTATGAACAGAGGTAAGACTACTTCAGACCAACTTTTAAAAGATGATGCATTTATTATAACATTCAAACTTGTTCAAGATGACAACCCATTGTCATGTCAAGGAGAAACTTAACTTAGACAGGTGTTTCTCTGTCTCTAAGATTTGATTTTATGCTATGTGCCATGGCACAATGTTTTCCAAACTCACATCGGTTTTTGGGCTTAGATGTAGCTCTAGTTATTGTTGTCATGTATCATCTTTAAAGATTGTGAAATTTTAGAACTACTTTCATGACAATGGGTGGCATCAATCTGTGAAGAAGTTTATGAACATTAGTTGAGCAGGTTCAACTATTGTTGTGTTCAAAAGATAAGTCTGAAACTAATCTAAAGTTATTACTGGCTGTAAGTTGTAATTCTCTATTAAATAGCATGTTTTACATAAAGGCATGGCTGGTTGATTCCCATTCCCTTGATAGAAGTGGCAATCTTGAGTTGTTTTTTTAACTGTTCCATCCCATTCATAGTCTAGTTTTAAATGTTGTTACCTTTTCAAGTCTTCATTAAAATCTCAAAGAAAATGTGAAAAGTGTAGCATGAGGCCTTTCTTGTAGTATACACACCAGCAACGGCCTCTGTTGTGTAATGCTAAGTTTAGGTTCTTTGCACTGTGCCGCAAAGATGAAAGTAATTCCTTGTTGATGGGGAGGTCAGATGTTTTTTGTTTTTATATTTTGGCCTTTTGCCTTTTGCTGAAATACAGACCAGACAGACCCTGATACAATAAAAGTCAAAGCTTCAAGTCTCATTGTACCTAAAAATGTTTTAATAATTTTGAAATTCATATTGGGGAGTACTGTTCTTAACTATATTACATTTTTACTCACTTTTTTAACAATTTGCGGTCAATTGGCACAATAATGCGCCGGTGAAGATTGTCTGTTTAGGTCACCTGGCGCAGCGCCAGGCCCGAGAAGTCCGTTGCAGTCACTCTCCTGGTTTGATGACCAGTTGGGGTATTTTGTACTGCTGACTGTGTGACTGAAAAGTGTTAATGGATATTATTTTTTTCCATTTGCCCTCAGGACACTGGGGCGTGCCATTAGCTCAATTGGTATTGTACTGGATTATGTTATGGAGCAGATGTCATTGGTTCGAATCCCCAACAGGAATTTTGAACTGCAGTTTTGGGGGAGTTTTTAATAAAAGGCTGCCCTCCCTCCAGGCTTGGACCGATAATATGAGATGAACATATTCTTTTTATTTTTCCAGATTCAACTGTGTTGTCTGCCTTGATGCTAAGCTAGAGATGGTTTATGGAATGTGTCAACACAAAGTTTGTGCTGATTGTCTTTACCGGAAAGATGGTATTTTGAAGGGCTCCATGGACAGGTGCCCACTGTGCACAATGGATTATTCCTTTCCTTACCGCAGGTAATTGAAATGGTCCATGTTTCCTCTGCTGAAGTTGTTCAAAAATTTCCGCCTACTGTTAGAAAAAAGCTTAAATTGCATCTCTTGCTTCCAAAGCTCAGGTACAGGGTTTCCTCAAAAGTAGTTGCGTGGGCCTAAGACTCAGCTGAAATGAATTCTCTGCTGTGTTTATAAGTTTGTTTACTCCAAATCTCCATACACACTCCCTCTTCATGAAAAACTAAACACACTACTGTTGGCTGATAGCAAAAAATTCTATCCTACACCTGCCCGGAGTCCCTGGTACACTCCTACACCGGTGGGTGGTTTGGCGGGTGCTCTGGTGTGGTTTGCTCCTTCTTTCCTATCAAACATCTATCGTCCTTATAAATCTCCCCTTGTTCTTTTTTATGTTTGTTACTCTCTTGTAACACCTCTAATCTTCTGGCGCTCATATGACCTTATGCAGTTGCGAGCGCCGTAAAAACCTCTACTAAAACTAAAAACACTTCTGACCGACTTCTTTTCTCTCTCTCTCTCTCTCTCTCTCTCTCTCTCTCTCTCTCTCTCTCTCTCTCCCTCCCTCTCTCCCTCCCTCTCTCCCTCTCTCTCTCCCTCCCTCTGCAGTTGATGGTTGACAGACATCACTGCAACTTAATTCCTTTCATACCTCAGGCTTCAATGTTGTTCTTTCACAGTATTGACTGATTTTCAACCTAATTATAATCATGTTACAAAATTGAATCAACTTAATGGTATAAGAATCTATGCTGTGGTAGGTTTTTATTTGTGTTAATTTCCAGCCCGAGAGTATGAATCACATTTATTGCTGCTTTGAGGGATATTTTTCTCAACTTAACATATCATCCTAATATCAAACATATTATCCAAAACCATTCATTTGTTGTCTTTTTATGACGAAATAGATGCCCATCTATCTTGAGTAGAAGTTGAGATCGGCGATTGGAGGTGGTGGGGGTTGTTTAGTTTCAGAGGTAAAATTGCTGAGAAAATGGCCATTTAAATTTGGTGACTTCTAAAGCTTGAATATCCTTGAAAACTACAAATTTATATTTTTTTGTGCTTTATGTCAGTTTTTCCAGTAAATTCACAAGAAAGAAATGTTTTTAAATGACATAAAATGTATTGTGCTTAAAAAAGAAAACGGATTTAAATGTTAGTTTCTTTAATCTGTCCCCGTGGTTTTATGCACCCTGCATAATTTAGCAAAATTTGATCGTTTTTTGCATAATTTCTGATTTTTTTCCTTTATCATTCGTTTAAATTTACAGAATCACATTATTTCTCATTTTGGGGCTCATTTTGCATAATTTCAGAATTTTTCTTGCATAAAACGATGGGGACAGTTTAATTTCGTTATCTGACAAATGCCTTATTTCACCACGATGCAACACATGTGTTATTTTTTCATAGGCCAGATATTCCAGATGATAATATACAAGCCCAAAAATGTCTCGGTGTTCGGGAGTGCCCAAATGCAGGCTGCTCCTTCCAGACTTGGCAGTGGGAAATGGAAGACCATGTAAAGTAAGCCCAGCTATTGTATGATATTATTTTCTTGTTTATTCACATAAGGCCGGTTAGTGAGATCTTGTTACACGTTTTCTGTGGGTGGACATTTATTTGTTCCTCAACATATCAAGTGAAATCGATGAAATAAATAACCACATAGAGGGAGTTACTGAAGTTCACTGACCTGAGTGGCTCAACCAGTGCACCCTTATTCTTATAACCTCAACTACATAAATAAATATTGTGTTAGTAAGGTTCAAAGGGTCAAGTTATTGTGGCAGATAACAAGGTTCACACTGAATTTAAAGTGCGTTTTCAAGAAACTGTAGTTTGATATTTATACATTTTGTATTAAAAGTTTCTAGAATCTTTTGATGCAAAAAAGGTTTCTGAACTGTCAAAATTTGAGTCAACGAGATTCCATGAAAGCCTTGACAGTGTCGCCCCCTGGACATTTTATGAGTTGAAATTAGGTACAGTGTAACACGAATTGTTCGAATTCGTTGGGACCGGCCTCGGTAGTTTGAGGGATCCGTAGTTCAAAGAATGTCTTACAAAGATAAAGAAGGAAAAAAACGGGAGCGCAGGCACAGTTCGACGGATGCTTGAATTTGAGTCTTCTGTGTTATACTGTATGTTGCTTCTAGCTTGGATGGAAATTGTTTTGAATTTTCAAGTTGGACAGTTTTGATCTTTTGTTTATTATCAACTCCCAACAGGCCACATTCATTATTCATTACTGGGTCGATTTGTGGATCACACTGAAACTGAACACAAGCTGTAGTTCGCCCATGCCTAGTCTATATAAATGAATGAACGAAGAATACAATTTGCTGTATATTTAGAATTGAGGGGCAGAGGATGGGTAACCTGGATTTCCCTCTGTTTGTTTTGCTTTTTCTCATCTTTTTCCTTCTTTTCATCTTCGGGTTATAGTTTGTTATTTTGGGCAAGATTGAAGCAGTTTTTCTTTTTTTCAGTTCAGCAACTTGCACTTATTTTGCCTTTGTAATATGTGTGTGTGCCTAAAGAAAGGTAGTGGGTGGTTGGCGGGTGCTCTGGTTTGGATTGCTCCTTCTTTCCTATCAAACATCTATCGTCGTTATCTCTCCTCCTTTTTTGTATATATTTTACTCTCTTGTAACATATCTATTCTTCGGCACTTATATGAACTTATTGTATTTGCAAGTGCCGTAAAACACTAAACTTACTAAAAACCTAACTAGAGAAAGATGCCCAAAGTTGGATTTTGACCATTTTGAGTCAAAGGTTGTACCTTATAGGAAGTTCAATGCTGAACACAGGAGTCTTTGAACTTTTTAGATATCTCAAGTAGTTTTTGAGATATTGCACATTTTGCGAGGTAGAGTATAAAAATATAATTTTGAAAAAATGAGCTTTTAAGTTTAATAAACGTGAGAACACATACAAAAGTAGGCCTATTTGCCTATTTATTTATGGAACATTCATTCCCAATTTGACATTCAGTTGACATCAATATCAAGAATAGATTTCTACACGTTTCAAAAGAAGTTTTCATTATTTGTTTTTATTATACCGTACTCTCAAAAAAATTCAAAATAAAATATTTAGAAGTCAGATCAATGAAAATTCTTTGAGCAGGTTTTAAAAAATTGGTGGATCTTTCATTTTTTTAATGGAAACCCATTTTGATCTAAAAAGTTATTTTTGTCACCAGCCTGTAGTCGAAACGGTCTGGGGTAACTTTTGGTACCTTTCTTTAGGTGCGCACACATATGGTGGTACAAGAATACTGTGCCTATCACAAGCAAGTTCTGTAAATACATCTGGGGTACAGGACCATCACGTGTTTGTGGGGCTTTTAAAAACCATCTGTCTTTTTGCTTTCTGATTGTCAACTTGCCTTTTATCGTTTGTTCTCAATGAGCCCACTTTTTCCAGCCATTCTCACTACTTTTCTTATTTGATGGGGGTTTGGCAGCATAATATGAACGTAAAATTCATAATTTATCCTTTATTATTGTAATTTAAATGTTTGTAGGTTCCTAAGGTATGTGGACTGTTGGAGAAAATGTCTGGCAGTTGAGTTACTTTGATGACTGGGTGGTTGTGTGGTCTGCTCCTTTTCTATCAAACATCTGTGGTCCTTTTCTCTCCTTTCTTATTTTACTCTGGTAACACCTACAATGATATTGTGCGGCTCTTATATGACCACTATTTGAATTGCTAGTGACATTTTTTAAAATGTAAAAACTAAAATTTCAGTAACTCAGGCTGGATTACACATTCTTACCTGCTGAAATTTGATTTTGTTCATTAAGCTGTTTGGCTCTGTTCTTTCTACCTTTGGCATGGATGGTCCTTGCTAACCAGTGCAAATGTTTTCTTCCCAACGGTATTCTATTTCTTTCTGGTCTAAAATTGTGAGTCATATCACTCTTTTTCTTTCACTTGATGATATAACTCATAGTTTCCTTCCCTCATAGTCGCTTTACGTTTATGACCTTGGGGTGATTTTTTTTTTTCCACAGAATATGCCAGCATAGTGAAAAAAGGGCCTCAAGCAAACAAGCGGTAGTCAGCAAAGCGACACCATCAGCTGCACGCCGCAAAGCCAAAACCAAGAGAGCCCATGTGCGGTCTCCTTACCGACGATCACCGCGGTTCTCAGTGGCTGAAAATCAAGAAATGTCACATGAATGAGTGGGGGAGGGGAGGGGTTGTTGTTTTTTTGGGGGTTTTTTGTTGCTTCTTTGGTCTGATGTAAAAGGTTCTCTTTTGTGTTTTCTTTATTACTTCACTGACTGAAGAAGCAAAAAATGCTGGAGGGATGTGCTTATGGCTGGGACAAAATACTGCAAAATTGAAAGCCACTCGCCCACTGGTGTGCTTGATTATGTGATAATTTTTACGTAACTTCAACCATAATTAACTGTTAATTGTTTTGCTCTTTTAATGTTCTTAAATTCTGGAATATATTCCTTACCTAGAGGTATTTGAGTGGTTTGCAGATGTGCCGATATTGTTTTCTCCTTCTTTCCTACCAAACACCTATCGTCTTTAACTTTCCCCTTCTTTTTTGTGTTTGTTTCTCTCCTGTAACACCTCTAATCTTCGGCACTTATATAATATAACCTTATTGTGTTGCAAGTGCAGTAAAACTCTTTCTAAAACTAAACTTAACTGCAGATCTATCTTGCAAGAGCTGATGGCTGATAGGCTCTCAGATATAATGGCTCATTTCCTCTTTATCTTTTCACTGAGTATTGTCTGAATTAGATTCTGAGAAATAAATTCAACTGTTTTTGTCGTTCTCTCTTTCTGTGAACTACACAGCCCGGCTCGATCTAGCTTGATTGTTCAAGACAGCCACTCGTTGGTGAGAAGAAAAGTGATCGTCTAAGACCAGTGAGACACCTTGGACAGTGTCATGATGTTTAAAAAATGGATGATGGGAAGCGATCATTTGTATTGTGATTGTCATGGGTGGGTGGCTGCTAGAGCAGATTTAAATGTATTTAAGTTCCAGTTCACTTTCTCCCTTCCTCTTTTTTCAAGCACTTTAAATATTTTGACTGTAATCAGGAATGGCTCAATGGTTATCTAATCCTATACAGTCGAACCTGTCTTAACGGAATCTCCCCGCTCCCCCCTTGATATATTCCTCTTTAATTACCTGTATAAAACGGAAACCTGTCCAACGCGGAAACGGAAAGAAAAATCCGCTCCCTTCCGAGGATTTCACCTGTCTAAGACGGGAAAATGCTTTGCCCGCTCAGCCCTGATTTGAAACAAAACTCGCAAGTTTGGTTCCGCTGGCTCTAAACTAACGCTATGGTCATGCCGCAGGGCGAGTAAGGGGAGTAGGGGTGCAATTTGGGGGTAGATGTTGCCCCATCATGTGAGCCTTGAGCGATGCAGATGGCCAGTGGAGCGTGGGTGTGAAATCTCACGACTGCCCGTGGGAGTGCTCGAGGTGCCAGCCACTACGTAAACTCTCCTGGGTCCTGAAGCCAGAGGTGTGAAATTAGATTGACCAATGCCTGCCGCCCTGATCGTACGGTCAGCCGAGAAAAGAGTTCCTTGAATCGTTGTTACAAAGATGGCAGTAAGGGGTGGCATTGGTGGGTGGGGCTAAGGATGGAAGCAAGGGAGATGTTCAAACGTTTCTGTTTTTAATAGGTCAAAAAGTGGTCCCATGAAAGGCAAGCACTGGTGGTAATTGGATAAGTAAGACTGACTCATGTCATTATCACACAGGATAGCAATTGAGAGGTGTGAAGTTTTGACCACTGCTTGCCCATCGGACAAGCGATCCTTGATCCCACCGGCTGGGCCTTTGACCCCCCCCCCCCCCCCCCCTAAATTCCCCTGTCTAAGACGGAATTTTTTTCTGGCTCCCTTGCCATTCCGTCTTACACAGGTTCGACTGTATTGTATGTTTTTGCCTCTCAACTTCTCTGAGAATGATGACATTTTCAAAATTAGTTTTTTGGAATATATTTTAAAAGTATTGTTTTTTCTTGAGCATTCGTACTGGACTTTCATCTGTAAAATGATTTTTGAAATAACAAGTGAAAACTTGTCTGATTGCAAATGAAATGATGTCTCTTAACTGCTGATATTCAGCTTGATACAGGGTGACCAGAAAAAAAAAAGTTTGTCCAAAAGAATGCTGAAAAAAATTGTTTTGAATAAAGATTCTGACATCAAAGTTGGCAGAAATGTGGAACGTCTGTTCTGATCTATTTTATGTAATTGCTATAATGCTGTAATTGGAATAAGATATGACAGCCATAAAAGGTGTGTTCTAAATTCCTCGAATTTTGGAGAAGGGCACATTCTGAGTGAAATTGACAGTTAAGCATTGAACCTGCTCTGTGGAAACCTCTTTTCTGCCCTCCATGATGGCTTCTCCCACGTTCTGGATACTTTCATGATTTCCCCACACAATTTGTCGTTCAAGTAATCCCAAAACTGAAAGTCCTGTGGACCCAGGTCCAGACTACTTTGGACCCAATTGTGTTCGGTCCCACGACTGATGTCCTGTTACCAAAATGACAGCTGATCCAGGGCAGAACAGCTCTGGAGGCATGAGATGCAGCCCCATCTTGCTGGAAGTGCTGGTTCTGTCTCCCTTCAGCACCAGCAAATAGTCCCAGGCTTCTCCCAATAGGATGTTGAAGTTGAGTGTGAAAGAAGTAAGGCCAGAGGTGCGTGATAGTCTGGTAGCTCATCACCCACTCTTCTGATTATGCCGTTCTTTCTGGTAAACTTTGTTGGACTTTGCTGATCCGCAGCATAGATATTTGTATGCAGTTCCTAGCAAAAGGTTTCTTTTGAAATAGGCTTCAAGTTTTGAAAAGTTTGGGTCCATAGAAAATGACTCAAATTTTTTTTCAAGTCCCTAGAAACAGAGTGCGCAAGCTGTGAAACAACGTATTCTTGAAAAGGTTACGGTGGTCCATGATTCAGTGGTCGAAGCACCAAAGAAATAAATACGGCGTGGTTGTAGCCTTGAGGCGATTCCCAGGACATATTTGAGACAAATATTGAAGAATGATTTGGGGGTAATGCCAGTTTCATTAACGACTTACTGAAGTAAACATAGATGCCAGAGTGGATATGCATAGATTTCTCAGTCAGTTTAAAATCAAGATGAAAATTTTTATCGTTCTCCTACAGTTCTGGATCTCCCGCAAGGCCCATTACCTATGGCTATGTTATTAGGAAAAACAATGTCTGTATTTTTTGGCAAATGTTTAGGTTGATTAAGGTTTCACTTGAAAATAATACATCTTGGTTTAAGTAAGCAAACTAATTGTACAGGAGTGAACTAATGAGACATTTTGTTGTTGCGCATCAGCAACAAAAATAAAACTAGTTCAATCTGATATGCGTTTGACTCCTGTTCCGTTTTGATGTCAGTTGGGTTGTGAACAAGAAAGTTATTAACATATTTCTTTGAATTAACCTTTTTTTTCTTCTGGTCAGCTGGTATGTATATTATAGTTTGTATTGTAACATGTATCAATTTGTCTTTCGGGTTTCTGAAAGTGATACCTTTAACTTATGAAATATTATATTGAATGAATGCAATGTTATTGGCTTGATAGTTTCATGGTGTAGAGATGTGTTGGTCTGGGAATTGTTACCACCACCTTGTGTCTCAGGGATTCGTTTACCCTCTGTATTATTGTACAAAGATTCAATGAATTTGATGGACAGGTGTGAGCAGAAATTTTCTGGAAATATGGGATGTTTTAGAAGTTTCACTCAGCTGCCACCATCATTCCCTAGCTCTTCATTTCTTGCATCAGTTGGGTGGTTTTGTTTTGTTTTTCCCCCAATGCTTGGAATACAATGTCAACATTTCTTTTCGTTTACCATCCCATTAGAGACCTGAGTTGATCAAACTTTTATGTACACATTAACCCTTAAAACCCTGAATTCTTTTTTTTCATATCTCCCTAGAATCCTGAATTAAAATTGAGATACTAGAAAAAATTAGGTTGGTTCATTATTTTGTTTACTGTGTCTTTAATTGTTGTTAGATTTTACTGAAGTTTGAAAATGTTATTAATATATGAATGCACAGTCTGAACAAAAGGGGAAAAGGTTAAAACACTGGTTTTTAGGACCAACTCTGATTTAAGTCTTGTGTGTGATCCCCGACTCCACTTCAGTCAAAGTATCATTAGACCCAGCCGTAGATCTAGCCTCTGGTAGCTTTAGTGGTGATCCCCTGCCAATTCCACTATCGTCAAAACCATCATCGATGTTATGCGGAAAATTGCAATCGTCTTCAACTGTCATATTTATCGATATATCCGACTGGGAAATCATTTTTGGGGTCTGGTTAAGATAAAAAATGTTGCGGCCTGAAGGGCCTGGGAACGAAAAGTGACTAATTTTTCTTTAAAACTCGCAAAATTTCCAAACTTTTGGTGTAGAACTGCTCTCATGACATTATCGGTACTTTCTGCTCGCGACAGAGTCATCTGGAGTTTCATCCCGTTTCTAGCACTGGGAATTAAACGATAAAGTCGACCAGCGGTACAGGAAAATAAGGCGTCAGCGGTTACCAGCGGTATAGGGTTTTAAGGGTTAATGTTTTTCATTCCTTCTATTGTGCTATGTATATGAGATCCCAAAATATTGTACAGTGCTACGAAGTGTCAAGGATGTTACTGTCTAGCACGCACATAGTGAAATCAGGGGTGTTTTTCTGTGTAAGTGGTTTAAATAGGCCTACATAGACCATACATGTATTTTGTAAATTTTGGGAACCTGAACAGTGTGCGTTTCGCTATGCGCGTGCTGGACTGTATGTTTCAAAAGTTACTTTTATGCTTTATACAGTGCATTACGTTTGCTTGACCAGTGTACACCAAGTGTGTACTTGATAGTTTTCTTTAGTTTAATCAAATTATATCAGTGTCATTCATTTCTCCAAACTGCTTTAGCAGAAATAGAATCTATAAAATTTGTAAAGTGAAAATGTGATGATGAAATCCCATACATATCCTGACTTGTGAAGCACAAGCAGTTGATGTGAGTTGTGTTGTTTGAGAGGGGTGGGTGTAACAAAGTAGTTTTGAGCTTATTTGTTGTTTCTGTTTTGAAGGCAGGCGAAACTGCTAAAAGTAGAAACGGTGTTATTGATAATGCTAACTGTTATACTGTTTTGACAAAATAAAACAAGAAAAGAGATAGAGAATAATGCTAGAGAAGTGGCCTTTGATAGCTTCTTCTTTGTATGCGGGCTACTTTTATCTCCTGTTTATGATACTGTGTTTCTGTTAGTTTCCTTACCTTATTGCTTTCTATGTGAGGTACAGTATAACACGGATAGATCGAATTAGTTGGGACCGGCCTCTGTAGTTCGAGGGATACATGAGGTTGTGTCAAAGAGTCAAGGGCAAAGATTGCTACTTCAGGAGCAAAACAGTACAGCGTGTGATGCACAACCCTTCCTCTTGCCCGCTCCACACAAGCCTAGCTCAACCTAGACCAAGGCATGCGTGTCGAGCAGCGCATAAAAATAGAACAGCAAGCTGCTTCTGTGGAGGGGGGTTGGT